ACTTGAAGATGACATTAAGCATAATATGGTAACTCAAGCTACCGGTTGTGTGAATCGGGTGTTCAAAGCTGGGAATAGTTTTACTTTTTGATCTGAATAATACTTTTGATCACAAGGCAGATGCGGCGCTTATTGTTAGTAAAGCGAGCACATGCTTTTCTTTCGATAAGCTGTAATCATCTCTTAGCAAAAATCCCTAAACAACGTGTCATTCTCAGTTCAAGTTATGCTCTTTGAGGACGTAAACCCGCTAAATTCCAAAATTTACAACCTCTCGCCCAGAATATTGGTTACGCTAAAGAGCGCATAATTAGAGATAGTCGCATATTTAGTAGCATCAGCGGATAACTGAAAACATCATTGGATAATTCTCATCCTGTAGCGTAAGTAGTTTTCCTGTCGCTAATATCACGCTTCACCAGGTATAGAGCGCAAACTTGACGTAGAACTTGGCATACTCAGAGCCCAAGTTAGATGTTCCTAAAATATGACAGCCCATAATCCCTTATACATGCATCGTTTATGTTAATTCACTGAAAACATGAATGAGTTTCATCCTTTCTTCCCATATGTTGATTTTATCATTGATTCTACCTGAGCTATCCGCAAGAGTATAGAAATTATTAAACTGAGTTCCACTTGACAAGAAAATCAGGTGTTTAGTGAGGTGTTTAGCTTTTGTGGGTGAAATTCTTAATTTGTTTCATTTACTGAACAGACTTTCAGTGCATACGGGGAGCCGCATATCTCAGTGGTTTCAATGACGATGGTGGATTACACAGGTGCAGTTATATGGATGCCACCGTCCATTTACAAGAGTCTATGTCAGGTTGGTTATATCTGATCAATAGATGATCATTCATTTAACACTTAGTGGTTCTCAAGTTCGGGTGCTCCGTCACCCTTTTAATGATCTGACTGGCCGCCTTTACCCCCCTTCTTGATACAAGAACTTACGTGTTGCTCATTACTGCAGTCGATTATGATTGCATGGAAAGCTGTTGTTTACGACACATTGCATGGAAAGCTATTGTTTACGACACTTCGAACTGTTTTGCATGGAATCTCATTCTTTTTAGACGTGTTGTAGTCGCTCTCATAGCTATCACATGCGAATATCGTTCTATTGATGAGTTTTTATCATTCACTTCGTCTCAGTTTCACTTCACAGCTCAAATCAACTTCTCATTCTGTAGCGTATACTATGTTTCACTTCACAGCTCAAATCAACTTCTCATTCTGTATTATATACTATTTACTGGGTACGTTGACGAGTGTTGACAGTCGAAATCAACAATACAACAATTGAATTGAATTGCTCAGCAACGTTCGGCAGTCAAATAATCACTTATATAGTGTATTTGATAGAATGAGAATTTCACTTCAGTTGTTGAGTGCAATGAATGAGAAATTAGCAGAAGAGAACACTATTGGTGATAAAAGCCATGAGAGCGATTGCAACAGCTCGGAAAAGAATGAAAACCCTGTTAAAACGAACGCAAACCCTATTGGACCTTTACGACCTAATGATATTCAGAAAATTGGAGAATGTAGAGTGTTGCCATCAACTAACCGCATTTACATACCCGAGTTAAAAAGCACCATCAAAATGGCGTTCTACATAACATACCAACTGCACAAAGTACCACTTTCCCGACCCCTCCGTTACCCATAAACATCTCCAAATCACCCAAACGGGTAATTTCACCCGCTATGAGAACCACTGAAGTAACTCTTCAATTACATCCTCAAAACTATACTTTGACCGTATATCGTAGAGGTCACTGTGAAAAATCCGAATAGATTGTTGATCATTCATTGATCACATGTGTGAGCTTGATACAGCGAGAATTTCAGATGGATATGCAATATTTCCCATATGACGTACAACAGTGCTATTTGAAATTCGGTGGCTGGTCACACGATGGTCATCTGCTTGACCTGCAACCGATTCCACCGCAAATTGACGATATCATTGAAACAAGAATAGATAAGGACGGTGTTGAGTTCCAATATCTTGAACTCGGAATGGGCCTGTCGTTTTATCATGAGTGAGCCGTTTAGTCGCATATCCCATAGTATTTCGTTTTGTGAATTATTATATCAACGATTAGTGAACAGCGCGATTTTCCATGCTTCGAAATTTTTAATTC